TATTGAGACCAGGGGTGTCTACAGTAAATTATTGAGACCAGCGGTGTCTACAGTAGATTACTGAGACCAGCGGTGTCTACAGTAGATTATTGAGACCAGGGGTGTCTACAGTAGATTATTGAGACCAGCGGTGTCTCTGTAGAGGGAAACTACAGTAGATTATTGAGACCAGGTGTGTCTACAGTAGATTATTGAGACCAGCGGTGTCTACAGTAGATTATTGAGACCAGTGGTGTCTACAGTAGATTATTGAAACCAGGTGTGTCTACAGTAGATTATTGAGACCAGCGGTGTCTACAGTAGATTATTGAGACCAGCGGTGTCTCTGTAGAGGGAAACTACAGTAGATTATTGAGACCAGGGGTGTCTACAGTAGATTATTGAGACCAGCGGTGTCTACAGTAGATTATTGAGACCAGTGGTGTCTCTGTAGAGGGAAACTACACTAGATTATTGAGACCAGGGGTGTCTATAGTAGATTGAGACCAGGGGTGTCTATAGTAGATTGAGACCAGGGATGTCTATAGTAGATTGAGACCAGGGGTGTCTATAGTAGATTGAGACCAGGGATGTCTCTGTAGAGGGAGGGGTCTGAAACATAGGAGGTAGAGGTAGTGTGTAATGCATCAGTGTGTGTGTGTGTGTGTGTGTGTGTGTGTGTGTGTGTGTGTGTGTGTGTGTGTGTGTGTGTGTGTGTGTGTGTGTGTGTGTGTGTGTGTGTATGTGTGTGTGTGTGTGTGTGTGTGTAGGGAGGTTGAGAGGTGAAGAGTTTAAAAGGTTCCCACGAGAACGCTCCAGTTGTGTGTCTCTCTACAGGAAACTGTGGTTGCTGTGGTTTCGTTTCGTGTCTGTCTGTTTGTCCACATCTCAGACAGATCTCCAGTTGGCCTCAGGTGTGTGTGTATGTGTGTGTGTGTTGCTGCAGTCAGGTGGTGCCGCCCCACATGTCATGACCCAGATGAAAACCTCACAGGATGTATAGCCTAGTTGTATGCTGCGTTCACATGCTATCGGAGTTATCGGAAGTTCCGACTGCGAAGTTTCACTTGAATGACCCTCTAAATCGGAATTACAACTGGGAAACTTGGAGAAAATGTTGTTGCCTGAATTGCCTAGTTGTGAAGTTTCACCACTGACCTTTGACCTTTTCAACCAAAAGATGACGGCAAATCCGTTTTTGACAACTACAATATGGAGAATGTAGCTGGTTTGACCATATTGTCAATGTTAAGCAAGCTAGCTAACTTAATTATAAGCAACGTTGGCTAGCTTATCAAGCTAGCTAAAATCGTATTGGTTGAAGAAATGTTCAGACCAAAAAACACATGAATGAAACAAAGTCGCATTTCCGGCATCACAACTAGGAAACAGGAAGCTCTGACGAGCAGCTGAACACAGCATACAGTTGAAGTTGGAAGTTTACATACACCTTGGCCAAATACATTTAAACTCAGTTTTTTCACAATTCCTGACCTTTAATCTTAGTAAAAATTCCCTGTCTTAGGTCAGTTAGGATCACCACTTTATTTTAAGAATGTGAAATGTCAGAATAATAGTAGAGAGAATGATTTATTTCAGCTTTTATTTCTTTCATCACATTCGCAGTGGGTCAGAAGTTTACATACACTCAATTAGTATTTGGTAGCATTGCCTTTAAATTGTTTAACTTGGGTGAAACGTTTCGGGTAGCCTTCCACAAGCTTCCCACAATAAGTTGGGTGAATTTTGGCCCATTCCTCCTGACAGAGCTGGTGTAACGGAGTCAGGTTTGTAGGCCTCCTTGCTCGCACACACTTTTTTAGTTCTGCCCACAAATGTTCTATAGGATTGAGGTCAGGGCTTATTGATGGCCACTCCAATACCTTGACTTTGTTGTCCTTAAGCCATTTTGCCACAACTTTGGAAGTATGCTTGGGGTCATTGTCCATTTGGAAGACCCATTTGCGACCAAGCTTTAACTTCCTGACTGATGTCTTGAGATGTTGCTTCAATATATCCACATAATTTTCCTTCCTCATGATGCCATCTATTTTGTGAAGTGCACCAGTCCCTCCTGCAGCAAAGCACCCCCACAGCATGATGCTGCCACCCCTATGCTTCACGGTTGGGATGGTGTTCTTCGGCTTGCAAGTGTCCCCCTTTTTCCTCCAAACATAACAATGGTCATTATGGCGAAACAGTTATATTTTTGTTTCATCAGACCAGAATACATTTCTCAAAAAAGTACGATCTTTGTCCCCATGTGCAGTTGCAAACCGTAGTCTGGCTTTTTTATGGCGGTTTTGGAGCAGTGGCTTCTTCCTTGCCGAGCGGCCTTTCAGGTTATGTCGATATAGGACTCGTTTCACTCTGGATATAGATACTTTTGTACCTGTTTCCTCCAGCATCTTCACAAGGTCCTTTGCTGTTGTTCTGGGATTGATTTGCACTTTTCGCACCAAAGTACGTTCATCTCTAGGAGACAGAACGCGTTTCCTTCCTGAGCGGTATGACGGCCGCGTGGTCCCATGGTGTTTATAATTGCGTACTATTGTTTGTACAGATGAACGTGGTACCTTCAGGCATTTGGAAATTGCTCCCAAGGATGAACCAGACTTGTGGAGGTCTAAAAAAATATTTCTGAGGTCTTGGCTGATTTCTTTTGATTTTCCCATGATGTCAAGCAAAGAGGCACTGAGTTTGAAGGTAGGCCTTGAAATACATCCACAGGCACACCTCCAATTGACTCAAATTATGTCAATTAGCCTATCAGAAGCTTCTAAAGCCATGACATCATTTTCTGGAATTTTCCAAGCTGTTTAAAGGCACAGTCAACTTAGTGTATGTAAACTTCTGACCCACTGGAATTGTGATACAGTGAATTATAAGTGAAATAATCTGTCTGTAAACAATTGTTGGAAAAATTACTTGTGTCATGCACAAAGTAGATGTCCTAACCGACTTGCCAAAACTATAGTTTGTTAACAAGAAATTTGTGGAGTGGTTGAAAAATGAGTTTTAATGACTCCAACCTAAGTGTATGTAAACTTCCGACTTCAACTGTATGTTTAGAGAGGCCAGGGAGAGGTCGCGATTACGTCAGAACGGGCAAACCGTCGTTTAATATTAGTCAAACCCCAAGACTTCCTACACCTTTGATCATAACCTTCGCTCAGCAGTCTATCAACCACAAACCACAGGCCAAAGGCAACAACAACATTGTACACTGCAGCTGCATGTTCCACAGAGAGAGAAGTGGATATGATTATTTATTAGCAAACAGTCTTAATCACATTCATATCTTCACAGTGTCTGTTTCACAGTATGTAGCTACAGTTATACTAAAAAAAGCTAAGATTTTATGGAGAAAATGCAGAATTTCTTTATAGAATGAAAAATGAAAGCTAATCAAAGTCCATCCTGAGAGTGGTCCATGAAGGGGCTAGATGTTACTCCCTTCAGTTCATCTGGCTCAGAGACAGCAGCTGAGTTGGCTCCTTGACACCACTGAAACACACACACACACACACACACACACATTGCCTTTAGACACACACACGCTTACAGCAATACCACACGTTGTGACAGAGTTGCAACAATGCTACAGCTACAATGCTATCTCTTTAATGTTATCTCTACAATGCTATCTCTTTAATATTATCTCTACAACGCTACAGTGCCTTGCAAAAGTATTCATCCCCCTTGGCGTTTTTCCTATTTTGTTGCATTACAAACTATAATTTAAATGGATTTTTATTTGGATGTCATGTAATGGACATACACAAAATAGTCCAAATTGGTGAAGTGAAATTTAAAAAATAACTTGTTTCAAAAAATTATACAAAATAAATAACGGAAAAGTGGTGCATGCATATGTATTCACCCCCTTTGCTATGAAGCGGGTGAATAGTTATGCACGCTCAAGTTTTCTGTTTTTTTGTCTAATTTCTTGTTTGTTTCACAATAAAAAAAAAATTGCATCTTCAAAGTGGTAGGTATGTTGTGTAAATCAAATGATACAAACCCTCCAAAAATCAATTTTAATTCCAGGTTGTAAGGCAACAAAATAAGAAAAATGCCTAGGGGGGTGAATACTTTCGCAAGCTACTGTATCACTTTAATATTATCTCTAAAACGCTATTTCTTTAATATTATCTCTACAATACTATCTCTTTAATATTATCTCTATAATACTATCTCTTTAATATTGTCTCTACAATGCTATCTCTTTAATATTATCTCTACAATGCTATCTCTAAAATACTCTTTACAATACTATGGCTACAGCATACATAATGTGACAACTCTGTGGCCCCTCCTACCTGAGGATGTAGGTGACACAAGCAACGAACGGTGGTGGTGAGAGCTTAGATGGGTGTGGCTTTGATGGGTGTGGCTGTGTTGGGCGGGGTTTAGAGATGACAGCACTGTGAGTCTCCGCCCACATGTACCCTCCCCCTCTCACCAACACCCTGTACACCCCACTCACTGACTGACCCTTAGAACACACTGGAGAGAGAGGGGGGAGAGCATCTTGTTAGTGCTTGGGAGATAGTGCCTCCAATACAGGACATACGAGTGTGTCTGTGTGTGTGTGTGTGTGTGTGTGTGTGTGTGTGTGTGTGTGTGTGTGTGTGTGTGTGTGTGTGTGTGTGTGTGTGTGTGTGTGTGTGTGCGTGCGTGTGTGTGTGTGTGTCCTCACGGTTCTGGTGGCTCTTGGTCAGAGTGTGTAAGTCCAGAGTGTGACACAGCTCATACACAGAGACACCCAGCAGCTCCTCTGGATGATAACTTAAAAACCCAGTCACCCTACAACACACACACGCACACACAGATTATGGTTTTGTGTATATTTTACATGTGTTTGTGGGAGTGTGTGTGTATCTGTATGTTTGTGCATATGTGTGTTTGTTTGTGAATCTGTGTGTGTGTGTGTGTGTGTGAATCTGTGGTTGTGTGTGTGAATCTCTCTGTGTGTGTGTGTGTGTGTGTGTGTGTGTGTGTGTGTGTGTGTGTTACCTTTGGTCACAGTAGGTGAACCTCATGTCCATGCTGTGTTGGCTGGTGAAGGTGTGTGTGTGTAGGAGTGTGTGAGAGAGGGAGAGGGGCTGGCAGGTGAAGAGCACACAGGAAAGAGAGGGTCTGGACACACACACCTGCAGCACCTGACACAACAACAGTAACACACACAATTTAAATGGAATTTACAAATGGTAAATACACCTTTTTTCTAGTCACTAAAAATAAAGTCACTAAACTAACCCTATCATGATGACATGCCACAGCAGTAAAGTGTTACTAAAGGTTTGTTTGAAGTTTATTCTCACCCTCCAGACGGCTGATCGGAGATTAACAGTTCTTCCTCTGTGAGTCACTGTACTCTTCATCCTCATCAGAAAGTCTCTCTGTCCTCCACACCTGCTCCGCCCTGGAACTACAAACAAACATAATACAACCATCACACAACTATCACACACCCATCACACAACCATCTCACAACTATCAACCATCTCACAACTATCACACACCCATCACACTACCATTTCACAACTATGAAAAATGCACTCACTAACTGTAAGTCGCTCTGGATAAGAGCGTCTGCTAAATGACTAAAATGACTAAAATCTAAAATCTAATCTATCACACAACCATCTCACAACTATCTCACAACCATCACACAACTATCACACAACCATTTCACAGCTATCACACAACCATTTCACAGCTATCACATAACCATCTCACAACTATCACACAACAATTTCACAGCTATCACACAACCATCTCACAACTATCAACCATCTCACAACTATCACACAACCATCTCACAACAATCACACAACCATTTCACAGCTATCACACAACCATTTCACAACTATCACACAACCATCTCACAACAATCACACAGCCATTTCACAACTATCACACAACCATTTCACAACTATCACACAGCCATTTCACAACTATCACACAACCATTTCACAACTATCACACAACTATCTCACAACTATCACACAACAATTTCATAACTATCACACAACCATTTCACAACTATCACACAACCATCTCACAACAATCGCACAACCATTTCACAACTATCACACAACCATTTCACAACTATCACACAACCATCTCAAAACTATCACACAACCATCTCACAACTATCACACAACCATTTCACAACTATCACACAAACATTTCACAACTATCACACAACCATTTCAGAATCATGTCAGGACTTTCAGCCACTTTTGGGCCGAAATATTTTTGTAAAACTTCTCATACCCAGTTAATAAAAGCAGAACACACCCCTAACACACATACATGTACAGATGTAGGATCTTAATTTGAGCCATTTTCCTACAGAAGGAAAATAATCATGCAGAAACAGGACATTTGAATGATGATGTTGATTCTAATTAATGGCAATTTTTTTTAGGGGTTGATACATTTTTCGTTAGGGCAAATTAAGTCTGACATTTTAAAATGGAAATTACTAACTTTAGAAATGTTTTTACACCTCAAATACACTACAAGTTTGCATTTCCTGCTGTGCAGGACAATTCTCAGCAACAAAAGAGTGATCAAATTAAGATCCTACATCTGTTTACACACCTCCAGTGATGTCAAGGTTGTCTCTGATGTCCTTATGGTCACAGGGGTGTGTGAAATCATATATGCTATGCCCCATCAACTCCACCTGGAGAAAAACATTCATATATAAATCACTCAGTTTATGTGTGTGTGTGTGTGTGTGTGTGTGTGTCTGTGTGTGTGTGTGTGTGTGTGTGTGTGTGTGTGTGTCTGTGTGTGTGTGTGTGTGTGTGTGTGTGTGTGTGTGTGTGTGTGTGTGTGTGTGTGTGTCTGTGTGTGTAAGTACCTGAGTTAGGCCCATGTATTCTCTGATGTTATCTGACAGGTAGATCATGTCTCCTTCTGTCGTTACCAGGACGACAAAGCCTCCCAGAATCCTCAGGTATAGATCTGTCTCCCCAATCTCCCTCTCTCCCTCCTCCCTCCTCTCCCCCATCTCCCTGTCTCCCACCTCCCTCCTCTCCCTAGTCTCTCTCGCTCCCTCCTCCATCCTCTCCCACGTATCCCTCTCTCCCTCCTCCCTCGTATCCCTCTCTCCCTCCTCCTCCCTCCTCTCCCACGTATCCCCCTCTCCCTCCTCCTTCGTCACCATCTCTCCCTCGTCCTCCCCCCTCTCGCCCCTCCTCTCCCACGTCTGTTGGTCAGCAAAGCCTAAGATAAAGAGACATAAACAACATACGGTAGTGAGTGAGTGAGTGAGTGAGTGTGTGTGTGTGTGTGTGGTGTGTGTGTGTTGTGTGGGTGTGGTGTGTGTGTGTGTGTGGTGGTGGTGGTGTGTGGTGGTGATGTGAGTGAGTGAGTGGGAGTGAGTGAGTGATGGTGAGTGGTGATGGTGAGTGAGTGAGTGAGTGTAGTGAGTGAGTGGTGGTGGGTGAAGGAGTGTGTGAGCGTGAGTGAGGATGTAGTCGTAGATGGAGGTTGTTAGTGATGTGGGGAGGGAGAAGGGTGGAGGTGAGTGCTCCATGTGTCTGTGGTGCTAGTGTGTTCCTTACCCAGAAGAGAGTGAGGAGAGTAGGAGATGAGAGTAGGAGTGAGATGGAAGGGTTTGTCTAGGTGTGGGCGGAGGGAGGAAGGGAGTGGGAGGAGTTGAGACATGTCAGTCAACACCTGAGATTGCGCCTAGTCACAATCATTACCTAAAGCGAAGAGGAGAGGGAGAGAGAGGAAAGCAGAGAGAGAGAGAGAGAGAGAAGGAGAGATAGAGGAGAGATAGAAAATCGAGAGAGAGAGAGAGAGAAATAGTTAAATCACAGTGGCAGTGTGTGGTGTGTGTGTGGTTGGGTGCATTATGGATGAACTCTTCATGCCCTTTATCTATGGCACACCACAACACCTGCTTTCTATGGAGTTCCATTAATGGCTAAAAAATGTTGACAACTGTGTACCATCCACAAGCACATGTCGACTGACTGGTTGTCTTGTGGCGTGAAAGACTGATTCAAGGGTGTCTTTGACGATTGAATAATAAGGAAATGCAGTGGGATTTATTTTATACGGTATTTGCTCATATTTATCAAGGTGCCAGTAATTTTGGACCTGACTGTATGCTAAAAATAGACAATGCAGTTACTCAAGCAAATATATGTAGGTGAAAATCAGTAAGATAATGTCTCATTGAAAAACATTTATATTTGTGAACTGATTCTCTATTTATTGAATTATATTAAAGATGTGTTCTCTGTACTACAATCTGATGTGAAGACAAAGATCCTACCTCCTCCTATCTCTCTCCGGGGTCATGCTGTGTAGAGATGGTGCTCTCAGCTCCTCTGCTCCGGATTTCGGAACACAGTTTTCACTTACACCAATCAATAAACAAAAATAAAAGTTGAATAAAATCTAATAAATATATTAGTCCGGTCCGTTTGGCTGGTCTGATGGTAGACAGCTGTCGTTTCCTCCTCTATCCACTGGTGCTCACCAAACCGGCCCCCAAAACCCCAACGCGTGATAGGTCAATTTACTGGAATCCTGCCCCAAAACACACCTTAACATGGTTCATCCACACACATGTAGAAACACCCTGTGTGTGTGTGTGTGTGTGTGTGTGTGTGTGTGTGTGTGTGTGTGTGTGTGTGTGTGTGTGTGTGTGTGTGTGTGTGTGAGTGAGACAGAGACAGAGAAACAGAGAAACAGAGCGAGAGAGACAGAGCGAAAGAAAAAAAGAAAGCTTGTTGCAGAGTTATGCAGTTATGCTGCCCTCTACTGCCAGTACTGATGTGAACCTGCACAGTCACAGGGTGGTTGTCAGGAATTCCGAACGTCAAGCTGGAACATAGAGGTAGAAAGAGGGCTCTAGATGGATAGGACCAGTTTTAGCATGGACATTGCCATCGAGGGCTTCCACCATTTTAAAGTGGTCAACTGGGTGGGGGTTCCTATGGGTTGGGAGTGATCAGCCAAAGATCAGAGCATCGTCTTCTTCTTCTAATTGGGTTGCCTATGGTTTGTAATTGTCTTTAAGCTATATCACCGCCATCTAGTGGCCACAATAAATTAATTACACATAAGATTTGTTTCAGGACTCCAGCACTGTAGGTGGTGGTAAATCACCAATATTAGCATAACGCTTTTTTCAAACACAAAAGAAAAAGAAAATGTACAACTTTAAAATGGAGATAGCCTCAATGGTGCTGCCCATGCTGTCACAGATACTAAGATGGCACAGACACTAAGATGGCACAGATGCTATGATGGCACAGACGCTATGATGGCACAGACACTAAGATGAGTTCTATTTCTATGAGCTACAATACTTTCCCTGGGTTTACGGAAGAAGAAACTACATTTACATTTACATTTTAGTCACTAAAGCCCAATTCAGATTCTCCCCCTCCTCCTCTATCCCCCCTCCCCTCCTCTATACTCCTGAACCTCCTCTCCTCTATATACTCCTGAACCTCCTCTCCTCTATATACTCCTGAACCTCCTCTCTTCTCCCCTATATACTCCTGAACCTCCTCTCTTCTCCCCCCTATACTCCTGAACCTCCTCTCTTCTCCCCTCTATACTCCTGAACCTCCTCCTCTTCTCCCCTCTATACTCCTGAACTCCTCCTTCTCCCTCACTCTCTCTCTCTCCTCATATACTCCTGAACCTCCTCCTTCTCCCTCTATACTCCGAACTCCTCCCTTCTCCCTCTATACTCCTGAACCTCCTCTCCTCTATATACTCCTGAACCTCCTCTCTTCTCCCCTCTATACTCCTGAACCTCCCTCTCCCCTCTATACTACCTGAACTCCTCTCCTCTATACTCCTGACCTCCTCTCTTCCCCTCTATACTCCTGAACCTCCTCCCTTCTCCCCTCTATACTCCTGAACCCTCCTTCTCCCTCTATACTCCTGAACCTCCTCCCTTCTCCCTCTATACTCCTGAACCTCCCCTTCTCCCTCTATACTCCTGAACCCTCCCTTCTCCCTCTATACTCCTGAACCTCCTCTCCTCTATATACTCCTGAACCTCCTCCCTTCTCCCCTCTATACTCCTGAACCTCCTCCCTTCTCCCCTCTATACTCCTGAACCTCCTCTCTTCTCCCCTCTATACTCCTGAACCTCCTCCCTTCTCCCCTCTATACTCCTGAACCTCCTCTCCTCTATATACTCCTGAACCTCCTCTCCTCTATATACTCCTGAACCTCCTCCCTTCTCCCCTCTATACTCCTGAACCTCCTCTGTTCTCCCCTCTATACTCCTGAACCTCCTCCCTTCTCCCCTCTATACTCCTGAACCTCCTCCCTTCTCCCCTCTATACTCCTGAACCTCCTCTCCTGGTAATGTATTATCAAACTGAAATAAAAACAATGCAACTTGATATTTCATAATTTCAATAATATGCAGCGCTTGACAATTTGTATTATCACATACCAATTGTTTATTTTTAAAATAACCAGCTGAACAACAATTCTATCGGATATAATAAATTTCCTGCAAATGAAGTACAGTATGATTGGAAGCTCAATATAAATGTGTTTAACACATTAGTCAAATTCTTCAATATCAATATTCATTTATTTGAAATTACAGAAATAATTGCAGAATGGGGCGTTAAAGATGCCCCTTTTTCCTCATGGAGTTTGTGATTGTTTTGGGGTGTTTGAAGAACATTATTTACAACATGATTCTCATGGACTTTAGTAGTACAGGTAAAACTGTTACATGTTGCACCTTTTATTGAGAACACAAATACAGAATAAAGCGAAAATACAAAGTAAATTTATACTACAAAGGAAACAAACTGCCTTTTCAATCAGCAACATACAACAACTCATGCAGCATATAAAACACACATTTATAATCAAACAATTAACAATAAATAATCTGTGCAATGGACACTAAGGTTATCAGATAACCTGGGTGACTTCTATACTGGACAAAAATATAAACGCAACATGCAACAATTTTAAAGATTTTGATTTCAATTGAAATCAATTCATTCAAATCAAATCAATTTTTATTTGTCACATACACGTGTTTAGCAGATGTTATTGCGGGTGTAGCGAAATGCTTGTGCTTCTAGCTCCGACAATGCAGTAATATCTAACAAGTAATATCTAACAATTTCACAACATATACCCAATACACACAAATCTAAGTAAGGAATGAATTAAGATATATACATATATGGACGAGCGATGTCAGAGCGGCATGGACTAAGATACAGTAGAATAGTATAGAATACAGTATATACATATGAGATGAGTAATGCAAGATATGTAAACATTATTAAAGTGACTAAGATACCGTAGAATAGTATAGAATACAGTATATACATATGAGATGAGTAATGCAAGATATGTAAACATTATTAATGGCTAGTGTTCCATTTCTTAAAGTGGCCAGTGATTTCTAGTCAATGTCTATAGGCAGCAGCCTCTAATGTGATAGTGATGGCTGTTTAACAGTCTGATGGCCTGGAGATAGAAGCTGTTTTTCAGTCTCTCGGACACCAACTTTGATGCACCTGTACTGACCTCACCTTCTGGATGAAAGCAGGGTGAACAGGCAGTGGCTCAGGTGGTTGATGTCCTTGATGACCTTTTTGGCCTTCCTGTGACATCGGGTGCTGTAGGTGTCCTGGAGGGTGGGTAGTTTGCCCCTGGTAATGCGTTGGGCAGACCGCACCACCCTCTGGAGAGCCTTGCGGTTGCGTGCGGTGCAGTTGCCGTACCATGCGGTGATACAGCCCGACAGGATGCTCTCAATTGTGCATCTGTAAAAGTTTGTGAGGGTTTTAGGTGCCAAGCCACATTTCTTTAGCCTCCTGATGTTGAAGAGGCTCTGTTGTGCCTTCTTCACCACACTGTCTGTGTGGGTGGTCCATGTGTACGCCAAGAAACTTGAAGCTTTCTACCTTCTCCACTGCGGTCCCGTCGATGTGGATAGGGGGGTGCACCCTCTGCTGTTTCCTGAAGTCCACAATCATCTCCTTTGTTTTGTTGACGTTGAGTGAGAGGTTATTTTCCTGGCACCACACTCCCAGAGCCCTCACCTCCTCCCTGTAGACTGTCTTGTCATTGTTGGTAATGAAGCCTACTACTGTTGTGTTGTCTGCAAACTTGATGACTGAGTTGGAGGCATGCTTGGCCACGCAGTCATGAGTGAACAGGGAGTACAGGAGTGGGCTGAGCACGCACCCTTGTGGGGACCCAGTGTTTAGGATCAGAAAAGTGGAGGTGTTGTTTCCTAACTTCACCACCTGGGGGGCAGCCCGTCAGGAAGTCCAGAGCCCAGTTGCACAGGGCGGGGTTCAGACCCAGGGCCTAGAGCTTAATGATGAGCTTGGAGGGTACTATGGTGTTGAATGCTGAGCTGTAGTCAATGAACAGCATTCTTACATAGGTATTCCTCTTGTACAGATGGGATAGGGCATTAGGCCCTAATCTATGGATTTCATATGACTGGGAATACAGATATGCATCTGTTGGTCACAGATACCTTTAAAAAAAGGTAGGAGCGTGGATCAGAAAACCGGATCAGAAAACCAGTCAATATCTGGTGTGACCACCATTTGCCTCACCAGCGCGACACATCTCCTTCACATAGAGTTGATTAGGCTGTTGATTGTGGCCTGTGGAATGTTGTCCCACTCTTCTTC